CACTGTTTTCCAAAGTGGCTGTACCAACTTGCATTCCCACCAACAGTGTAAGAGGGTTTCCCTTTCTCCACAACCTCTCCAACATTTGTTGTTTCTTTCCCTGTCCATTTTTGCCATTCTAACTGGTGTAAGGTGGTATCTCAATGTGGTTTTGATTTGGATTTCCCTGATGGCTAATGATGATGAACATTTTGCCCTGTTTAAAGTTAGCACATAGACCTTGGCCTGCTTCTGTGGACTGTGGTTCCAATGGTAATTTTCACAGCCTTTGTGATATTATTTTGGTGCTTGGTTTGCTGGTGTTAGTGGGGCTACAACTGGTCCCTGCTGGTGCTATGTAAGGGAGCAGCAGGAGTTTCCTCAGGCCAGGAGGCTAGATGTCTCTCGTGGGGAAAAATTGTGGTAGCTTCCCCACTACTATCTTTTGAGTGTTTTCATGTCTGTAGGCAAAGGAGGGGAGCCTTGAACCTACAGACGCCAAGAGGCTTCCTGGTATGGGCCAGTTGCCATAGCTGGATCAATCTTGCATGATCTGTCCACTTGTTCTGGTATCTCTGTACAAGGGAGGAAAGTCTTAGGCTCATGCCCATACCAGGCCACTTGTGTAGCCTGCCTGCCATTCCAGTAAGCCTGAGTTTTGCTAGAAATGCTACTTGCTACTTGTCCTAAACATTTTAATGGCCTTTTGTCACCTCCACCATTTCACTTAGATTTGGGATTATTGCTACTGATAGGCATCCCTGTCCTGAATTTTTTATTCTGTTTCAATTTTTAACATAGAAGAGTAATGAAATGTAGTGACTGACTACAGAACATGGGGAGTAGTTAAGTGCTTGAATCCACTGCCAGATAAATATGTTTTTATTCATTATTTTCAGGATTTGGGAATAGTACAGTTTTTATGTTTGGAGACTTTTGGAGCTAAATTTTATTTTCATTTTGGCACACCTGTTGTTTTGCCTAACAATTTTGGTCAAGGTGGCCTGCCAGAGTTCAGCTCTCCTATGTAGATCATTTATCTCTTTTACTCACAGACACAGCTCCCAACGAAGTTTATCCTTCTTAATTCCCGGTTACAGAGGCAACCAAGACAGGAATCACCCTGTTGTTGCCTAGAAAAATAATGAATAACACTTAGCACAGTCCTATCTCTATGTACAGAGACCACTGATGTTGACTTTCTGTGAAAAAGAGAGACAATTTATAGATTATTAGCTCATCTTCAGTCTAATTATCTAGTTTCTTAATAGGAGAGGCTAAATGCCTTCTTGTTGAAAACAAGGACACATCTTATTCATGAATACTACATAAAACCTTGGTACTTGTGCCTCCAAATTGTGAAGTACAGAACACATTTACAATTAATGTGGTTTCTGTGATCGCATATGAAAAATAATCAAGATGTCTTGGTACAAGCTCCTTACTTTCTATATAACACACAGATTAAATGTCAATATTTGATAAGTATCTATTTGCTAGTTAAAGGACTGCGATCTGTGAATATGGTGAGGCATCACTCCTAGGATTATGTCATGTTGATCTTAAACCAAGGTTGTCTAGGAGAGCCCAGTATACATGAGCTGTTTAAAGGAGGAGCTTTTTTCCAGCTGGTGACAGAAAAGAAAGTCAGAGAGTCTTGAAGCACGAGTGGAATTCAGTGTGCCATTGCTGGCTTGAAGATGAAGGGGCTACATGAGTAGTAATGTGGGCGCTTAGGGAGCTGAGAGGCCCCCTGACAGCCAGCAAGGAAAGAGGGACCTCAGTCCTGCAGCTGCAAGGAAATGAGTTCTGCCAACAACTTGAATGAGCTTGGAAGTAGATCTCTCTCAAAGAGGGGCAGAGCTTGAGCTCAGATAAGTGGAACAAGCCTTTACTGCAGCATTTAGTTGGTGGCAGAACTGTCCTCTAAGATTTGGAAGCTGCATTCTTTTTTTAAGGATCCAAGAAAAGAGGTGCATCTAATAAAGTATATCCTTTTGTCCCAATTCCTTTAACCCCTTTCCCTTTGATACCAACAGAATCAACCAAAACCAGCCTGCTCAGAAACCGGATGTCCAGCCTCAAGAGCTCAGCTTGCAGCAAGAGGACAGACGGCCTTTCCATTTCCAGCAGCTGGAACACTCCAAGTGACAGAGGCAAGCCAGAGAGAGTCTCTATATCAGGAAGCGCAGGCTGGCCTCCCTTTGCCCAGTGTGTCTGCTCCTAAAAAGCTGGGTGTAGATACATTTTGGGGGAAACAAATCATTTTTAAGTGGGTTAGGTTTGCTTCCTATTCAGGGACTCCTTGTAAATCATGTCTGCCTGCTATAGTGAACTGGATTTTCTTAGACTGAGATTTGCAATTACTGTGCCTGGATGTTTAATACACAAGTGGCTCACATAACTATGGTGCTAGTGTAGTGCTTGCTGCCCCTCCGTGGTTTGAACTTGAAAACCTAATACTTCACAGTTGGTTTATTTTCTTCCCTTCATTCACAGGTGGCAACATCTGATGAGCCCCTCTCTGGTCCATATTGTCAGCCTTTTGGGGGCTAAGTGTGAGGAAAATATGATTTTCCACTCCAATTTTATTATAATAATAAAATCCTTATTCTTAAAATAGTAAATTTCTAAGAGTTTAATTCCTGTAGGACTTTTCCCTGTATTTCAAATAGTTGATAACTAGTAAATCAAACTAATGACACAGATATGTACAATCAGTCCCCTACGTAGGAGGAAGTGACTGAGTGACAAGTGTACACTCCATCATAGCTGAATCTAACCTTATGTTCTTTAGTGCTGATTGTTGTGATGTCTTTTCCTGTGTTTCAGTTAACCTGTCATAGTCCCTAGGTCTGCTATATGCATGGTTCTTAAAGGGCTTAGCATATGATGAGTAGAGTATGATTTCTTAGATATTCAACCCAACTCACTCCCAAACAGCCCTCCTTCTAGATGCTGCCAATTCAACTAGCTAATATTTCTTTCCACTTATAAGTCCAAGTTTATATAAGGATATATATATTAAAAATCCCAAATATTGATTTGAAAATGTGTATCTACAACTAAACAGGATCTAATAGGAATTTTGGTTTTCCATACAGAGTGGAGGAACCACAAAGCAACTATCAGAAACTAAAATGTTGATCAAGGTTCTTTTGTATAATTTGGGGGGAGTCTAATGAAGCCAACATTGAACAATCATTGGTTAATGGCATTGTCAAATTTAACATTGTAAAAATGTGTTTTCTGGGGAATGAGAGAATGAATGTCTCATTCTTCCATGGAGAGGGATCTCAGTGGATATGGGATGAAGTAGATAAGCAAAACAATGATAGGGCCGTATTCATCTATGCATTGGTCTTTAGTGTAATTGCAAATGAATCTTGCCAAAGAACCCACTATGACAGTCAGGATTCTCTGAAATATGGTCCATTTGTTAATCATCGGTCACAACCGAACTAAAAGATAAGCGTGATCCTTTTGCATTTTTGATTAAAAAAACCCATTTATTACAAAATTATACAACTGTCATTTTCTCCTTCCACAGAAATAAGCACCCTACTGACAAATGAGTACCTAGATGGCAAATCATTAGGAAGAGTGAGTCGAGAAGGAAAAGAGGTTCATGACCAAGAGTGAGTACTTTAATTTTACCAGGGAGGTTTTGTTGTGTTTTTATCTATTACAAGTTTTAAAGCATCATAGTCTGTGTTCTTATTTCTTCAAGTATGTCTTCAGAAAAGTGGCTCAAGACCCATGGCTTGGTTGCCAAGAAACTCACTGTCATGGATGCCTTGTCCATGACAGCGGTCCCTCACATCCCCACCTATGTTCCCATTCTGGACAAGCATGTTGTTTCCAAGGTCTTTGATGAGGTAAGACTGATTTTCTATCTGTCCCTGCCTGACGTATTTTTCATTCCTGGTTCAAATAAAATGTAGTCCACTTTGGTCTTGTACAGTTGTAACAGAAATGTATTTCAGCCATTGAAAAGAAAATTATTTGTAAAGATAGTAAAAAGGAGAGAGAAAAGCTCTTACGAAGTTTTGTTTTTAAGCTGAGAAGAAATTGGTCTTTGTTGGGTTGGCCGTTCACAGCTGGTTGCTGGTGGGTGGCAGTGTGGAGCTGCAAACATGTTTGAAAATCTTCTCAGAGTCATGAGTCATGAGTGAACATTATCCAGTATCAGAGGACCAGGGGAGAACTTGTGAGAGACTATGTCCTCCCTTTGCTTACCTTCTCTTCTTAAATATAGTGGCATCTTTTCTTTTCTTTTTTTTTTTTTAAGATTTACTTACTGAGAGAGAGAGAGAACACATGCATGCCTGCATGAGTGGGGGGAGGGCAGAGGGAGAGATTCTCAAGCAGACTTCCGGCTGAGCTCCGGGCCCAACATGAGGCTCGATCTCATGGACCCATGAGATCAGGACCTGATTTAAAACCAGGAGTCGGACCCCTTAGCCGACTGAGCCAACCAGGCAACCCCAGTGGCATCTTTTCCATCATAAAAGTCTCCAAAGGAAAAAGTCAGAGAGGGAAAGAGGGAGGGAGCAAGAGAGACGCAGAGAGAGAGAGAGACAGAGACAGAGAATGAACCAGAGCCAAAGAACCGTAAGAGAATGACAGTCATATCTTGGAAGGGGAAAAAGCAGTGGGAGAACATGGGAGGGTTAAATGTGGAGGAAGGCCAAATAAATACTGAAAAGTTTCCCTTGAATTGGGCAACTAGAAGGTCCTTGCCCTTAGCAAGAACAGATTCAGTGGAGCAGCCAGACTGTTCAAGAATGAGGAACACACAAAAAACAAGGATATGAAGATCAAACCCCAATGCTTCTGGACAAATACAGTGGCAGCTAATGATTTAAATAGAAACATACCAGGCTTTATAGTCACTAAATGGAAATACTATCCTTAAAAGAACTCATCTCATCCTGTGATGGTTACAGAAGAAATGTAGGGTGTTTGGAATTTGCTTCCCAACCATTGGGAGGGTGGCAGTTGTTGGGGGAGGAGAGGAATAGGTAAAAGAAGATTGGCCATGAGTTGATAACTGTTAAATTTGCATAATAATAATATTGAATCAGGGGAAGCTCGTTCTACTATTCTGTCTGCTTTTTTACATAGCTTTGATTTTCCATAAAAAAAATTGAAAAAATCAAAGGCAGGAAATCTTTTTTTTTTTTAAGATTTTATTTGTTTATATGACAGAGAGAGACACAGCAAGAGAGGGAACACAACCAGGTGCCCCTAAAGGCAGAAATCTTTTTTTAAAAAAAAGCCTTTATCGGGGTGCCCGGGTGGCTCAGTCATTGGGCATCTGCCTTCAGCTCAGGTCATGATCTCAGGGTCCTGGGATTGAGCCCCACATCGGGCTCCCTGATCAGTGGGAAGCCTGCTTCTCCCTCTCCCACTCCCCCTGCTTGTGTTCCCTCTCTGGCTGTGTCTCCCTCTGTCAAATAAATAAATAAAATCTAAAAAAAAGGGGGGGTCTTTATCTAACTGGTCTTGATGTATTTGGAAGAAGCAGAGGAATTGGTGAATTTTTTCTCTTAGTCACATTGAAGACATTACACTCACAGAGTTCAACATGCACCCTAGTTTTGCACAACCAGTGATTTTTGCTCTGGAGGTTTTGTGTGATTGATGATGTATTCCTCATGACTGTGCCTCACAGTGAGTGGTTCTGTGTCTGGCTGAGACCTTGTGACTGGCAGGTTCTATTTGTATCTCCAGTGAACTCTAACCTGTTTGGTCAGATAACAATGTATCACTTGAACTTGACTTCCTCCAGAAGGAGCAGAGAGAAACTGAACACTGATTGATTACTTCTAGGAAGTTTGGTGGCAGCTTTTCCTATTCTGTGCATTTATTTTATTAATACTCTTCAGTTTTATTTGGAATAAGATGTCTTTAGTGAACTCTACTGAGAAGTAGAATTTTCTTGTGCTTCTCATGTCTCCTTCTAAGCCTTCCAATAGCCTGAAACATGGAAAAGTAAATTTCTCAAAAAAACAAACATGATAGGGTAGGGAAGTACAAACATAAAATCAAAGAAGAAACCACAAGGGAAGGATTTATAGATCAAATACAGAAAAATGTTATATTGCATAAAAACATACAAATAAAATGAAGGTAGAGCTCAGAAAAATATTTGTAACATATACAACAAAGAGTTACAAGAGTAATGTCTTAAATATGTTTTTGAGTTTGCATCCATATAAACCTGTGTGTGTGTGTGTGTGTGTGTATAAATCATTGTTCTGTTCACAGAACAACATACATACACACGTGCCCATACCATAAAAGAATAAAAAAATGGTAAATACCTCATTGGAAAATCTAGGGAGAGAAATTAAAAAATAATCAAAACCCCATACAAAAATATTTCTTACCTGGTAACCAAATATATGCGTTGAGAAAAAGTGCAAACTGAAAAACCAGTTAGACAACTACCCCACCACCACCATCAAATTTGTAAGGTTAAAAAATACTAATAAACAAACAAACACAAATACCAATGAACAGTGATGGCAAAATTAGGATGAAATGAGAACTTTTATATTCTGCTGGTGGGAGTATAAATTGGTGCATCCTTGGCAGTATACTCAGAGGTGTTAAGAACATACAGCCTTTTCTCCAGTGAATCCACATGTAGATATTTCATAATCAGAAATACTGATACATATATTCAAAGAATGGTTAGTGCTGCCTTATATCTAACAATGAGAATGCTGAAGACAACTTAAATGTCTACAGGGTATACCCGTATCATGGGGGGTCATACTTTCATTAAATGTCATGTTCCTGAAGAATAAGGAATGACATAGGGAAAAGCTCTCAATGTAATTTTTTAAAATTTAATTTTATTATATTATGTTAGTCACCATACAGGTACATCATTAGTTTTTGATGTAGTGTTCCATGATTCATTGTTTTCATATAACACCCAGTGTTCCATGCAATACATGCCCTCCCTAATACCCATCACCAGGCTAATCCATCCCCCCACCCCCCTCCCCTCTAAAACCCTCAGTTTGTTTCTCAGAGTCCATAGTTTCTCATGGTTCTTCTCCCCCTCCGATTTCCCCTCCTTTATTTTTCCCTTCCTTCTCCTAATGTCCTCCATGCTATTCCTTATGTTCCACAAATAAGTGAAACTATATGATAATTGACTTTCTCTGCTTGACTTATTTCACTTAGCATAATCTCCTCCAGTCTCATCCATGTTGATCTAAAAGTTGGGTATTCATCCTTTCTGATGGCTGAGTAAGATTCCATTGTATATATGGACCACATCTTCTTTATCCATTCGTCTATTGAAGGGCATCTCAGCTCTTTCCATAATTTGGCTATTATGGACATTGCTGCTATGAACATTGGAGTGCATTTGGCCCTTCTTTTCACTACATCTGTGTCTTTGGGGTAAATACCCAGGAGTGTAATTGCTGGGTCATAAGGTAGCTCTATTTTTAAAT